TGTGACTAAAAGACCTGGACAAGAACAATTAGAGGTGGAAATGTTTATTTTGGGGCTCACTAAGACCTTTAGAGGTCTTACTTCAAAAACAGCTGTTGTGGTGTGAACTGATAAATACAACCAATAAGAGTGTAAATTATAGATTATAGATTAGTAAAAAACATAGACAGAAGATTTTGATAAGTGAGATAAGACAATTATAAAGCAAAAACTGTCATAGATAGGCCTAAGACTCCATTTGGCTGCCTTCTATAAAACTCTTGTTACAAGAGCTGTTTCTGAGAAAGTGAAATGAAAGCTGTTTATCTTCTTATAAAAATTGTTTTTCTGTACTTTGTACCCCACAAATTGTACCTTACTCAGGATGCAGCGGTGGTCATGGTGAGCTACCTCCTGGGTTTGAATGCCCTTGTGGGTCTACATGACCTTGAAGTAGATTCTCGCCCTGCTGACCCCCGCCCAAATTCAGGATGCAACTGTCTAGCACCTGTTTGAACCCAGGACTGTGGTCAACCGAACTGCAAAGCTAATGCTTTTTTTGCTTCTGTTTATCACTTGCTTGCTGACTGGAAAATTCCAGTCCTGCCTAGAGCCCACAGGTCCCTCTTATTAATTTTTTAATTTCTATGATTGGCTAGCTTACATGACGATAAACAAGTCACTGAGTTGTGCTTTTTGTGCTTATATTTTCTTTGGATGGACCAGGAAGCTGCTGTCCTCCCACAGAGCTTGAGTCTCTGCAGTGGGTGACAGTCCCTGGCCAGGTAAATAAAGCTCTCTTTTGATTTGAAATTTGGACTTAAGAGTGCTTTCTGAGGTGTCTCCCCATAACACAGCTGGCTCCATTCCTTGGGGCTTGAAGTGAGGCTGAATATAATGGTGGCAGAGAGTGGTGGAGGAAAACAGCTGGGGAATCATATCAGGAAGCAGAAAGGGAAGATTCTACTCATCAGATACAAAATGTATACTCCAAAGGCAGATGCTCAGTGACCAACCTCCTCCAGCCATATCCTACCTGCCTTCAGTTACCACTCAATTAATCCCTACAAGGGGATTAATTCACTGATTGGGTTAAAGCTCTCATAACCCAATCATTTCACCTCTGAATATTCTTGAACTATCTCATACATGAGGCTCTTGGGGAGCACCTAATATCTAAACCATAATAGTCTCTCTCTGTCAATTCTTCCTTACCAAGCAATAAACTAATTAGGTAGAGAGAGTATGTGCTTATCAAAAGTGAAACATAAACAGATAAGTTAGTTTTATACAGTGTTTGCATTCTTCCAGTAAAAACAAAATATATATGCATAGATGAGCTGTACAATATGAAATGCATAATTTCATATTAAAAGCTTTTAGATTTGCACATTAAACCGACATTGCACAATATAAAGAAGAATGAAAAAATGCTTACAATTAAAAATTTTAAGTCCTTTACACAGAGTGACATTAAATAGCAAATATAAAACTACCATGAGAAGTTGGGGGATTGCAAAAGAATGTAAAAAGCTTTATATTTTAACATCTCTAAAGGCATTTCTTCCTGCTTTTTGAAACAGAGCACCACATTCTCATTCTGCACAAGGGCCTTCAGGTTATGTAGCTGGTTCTGGATCTAAGTGTGACCTGATCTCCTCAGTCATTATGGGACCTGCATGGGCTTGGGGATTAGAGGAGTGACCCTACACTCCTTTCCCACCTTTGCCCCTACATCAAGTAGTCCTGGCTGTTCACCCCAGGATGCTGCACTAAGATGAGAACTTCTTGAGTGCCTATGGGGAGACAGCCAGGGAGGTTTCCTCTGGGATCACTCAGAACACCATCTGTACCACAGCTGGCTCTTGGGTTTGTCACAGGCATCCTGATGGACTTGAGCATGTAGAGAATCCCTACAAAACACAAGTTTACCACTCCAGAGCACGGAGTTCTTGTGCCTTCTGCCTAGAATGTTACCCCTGCTCTTGTAGGACAGCTTCTCTCTGATCTTCCAATGTTTGCCCAAATGCTTTCTCCTCAGAGGACCTCATTTACCACAATACTCTCTTGCAATTCTTTTCAGAACTTTTCCCAATTAGCTTATACATTTCTTATTTTGTCTTCTCTGTGAAGTACACGGGCAAGAACCTGGTCTCCCTTGCTCCACACTGTAGCCTGGCTCCCATCTCTGGACTTGGCATAGAGACCATAGGAAATGTTTGTTTGGTAAATGAATAAATGTAATTAGACACCCATAGGATTTGTTAGATTATTCAGTGTTTTTCAAAATTCAAATCTAAGACTTGTATCAATGAAGCAGCAAAATCCAGATATCAGCTATGACATAATCAAAGAGGTTTAGATTTTTGCTAAAGCATGTGCAGACCTGTTGTGTTTTAACGAAACATTAAGGGAATAGTTAATTATTGATGGCATAGGCTGACACATATAGTTTTAAAAGTCAATATTTTTTTTTCAATATATTTTTTTAAAGAAACAAAATAGAAAACAACAACAACAACAACAACAAAACAAACAAACCAAAAAAACTCTCTTTCTTCTTTTTTAAAAATATTTTCCTCTCTTATTATATTTCTCATTTCTGACCTAAATATTAGCCCTTCTGCAGAAAGAATAAAGAATAAATGATTGGAAAGTTTTCCCCACATGACTACATCTCCATAAGAAAATTATGTGTAACAGTTAATTTATTGTTTTAAACTTTCTCAAAGTATAAGGCAAAAAATGTTCACCATTTTTATTTATAAATATATTTATATTATTTATAGTTGTATTGATCAATATTTATATAATGATCATTTTTAAACTTTTTCTTTCCTCATTTCTATACAATGTTGTCTTCTGATATGTCATTTACTGCTTTATGAATTATTTTAGAGTACAGAATTTCCTAACTCACACTGGCATTAAGTAGCCCTAGGTGGCATCATTATTCTTTTTCTTTTTGAGTACCGGGAATTGAACTCAGGGGCACTCAATCACTGAGCCACATATCTAGCCCTGTTTTGTATTTTATTTAGAATTAGGATCTCTCTGAGTTGCTTATTATTATTAGTACCTTGCTTTTGCTGAGGCTGGCTTTGACCTCACTATACTCCTGCCTCAGCTTCCAGAGCCACTGGGATCATGGTGTGTGTCTCCGTGCCTGGCATGGAATCATTACTCTTGATATGATCATTTGAAAAGTTTTGAAGTGATATAAATAATATCCTTTGGGAAAAAAAAAATACCCATATATTTTTTGGGACTGTGGACTGAACCCAGGTTATGCTTTGTCACTAAGTACATCCCATCTCTTTTTATTTTTATTTTGAGCTAGAATCTTATTAAGTTGCTTAGGGCCTCACTAAATTGCTGAAGCTGGCCTCAAACTTGTGATACTCCTGCCTCAGTCACTGATTCTCCAGGATCACAGGTGTGCACCACCATCCGAGGCTCCTTTAAACTTAAAATATTGTTTTCTCTAAACCTGATTAATTCAATGGTGCAAAATTAATTCTTACTTGAGAAAAAGCAGTTTTTGAAAAAATATCAAATCATGTATTTTATAATAAGAAGTTTGGAAGTAAAGAAAGTGATGTGACAAAAATCACAATGGACTTATATAAAACGGTATTTTCTAGTTTGCAAATGATTTTTTGTTGCCTTGGCCCAACATAACTGACTGATGGGTGTCCAGCTCATCCTAGTATATGCAAGCTAAAAAGCCAATTGCTGAATAGAACTGTCTTGTTTCTGCCAAGAAGCTCTTTTTAACAGAATGTGAAAGAAATACTCCATGCAGACGACTGAATCCACACCACCAGCCATAAGATTGTGTCTAGAATGCCGTGGAAATCATTGAAGAGAATGCCATCTCCAAACCACCACCACCAGCCTGGACAAAGCATCAGAGAGTGTGCTGGAGGGAATAATGCTGCCCTGGCCCCAGGGGAGGGACCAGATGGGACCTTATAGCTCTTTTCTACTACTAATTTCTATGATAATTCTAAATTGCCACATGGCATACGTATTTTTTTTTTTTAATCTAAGGCAGAATATCAGGCAATGAAGGATTTTAATGAAAGGTATCTTTCATGAATTGTATCTATTCAGACTTTATTTCTTACCTCCCTCCATCCATTAGTAACACATCATATACAGTTATGTTGGGAGAACTTTATGGAGACAAGTCAAGCACAATGCATTTTTAATCATTATCAATACTAATTAGAAACAAATATATCCTAGGAGGTCAGATGCTTTTTGCAACAATTTTATGAAGTCATTCACATCAAGCTCTTTTTTTTTTTTAATAATTAAAGATCATGCTTGGATCTAAGGATTATGGCATGCCAGGTAATGTTTGAGAGAAAAATTAGAAAAGTAAAAGTTCTTCCAGTTTTTAGAGACAAGATCAGGAATTAGAGGAGGAAATATTAGTGATTTGAGAAAATTACAAAAGAATTTCTGTCCATTCTTACTGGTGAGTCCAAATGCAACTTCACTTGGCCTTTCTTTTCAACCAGATGCAATTTCTCTTTCTTTGACCTTCCAGAACTTTATTTGCACTTCTCAGGTGGCCAATGCCACATTCTTTGATTTATTAGAGGCATTTCACTTGCTATTTGGAGGTGCTCTGAATGAGACCATTATATTTTGTTCAGCATTACTCTTTATACACAACAAACTGCAACACCCAGGGAGGATAAAGGAAGAGATTGAACTTGGAGAAAAATACCGACAGAGCCATGAGCATCTCATGATAGCCATAGTTTCTCAGACACAAACTGATGTGAGTAAATCATGAAAATAAAATCTTCCTAGGTTCAAGGTAGCATAAATTATATTTAATATAAATTAACAAATACTATAAAAATCATACTATTTTCAACATAGACTGAAAAAATTCTCACTTCAATTTTCAGTTCAGTTTTTTAATACTTACCTCTAAAGAAAAACTGCTGGGAATCTTGATTCTGGGAGCATTAGTAAGTTACATTTTCAAAGCAAAAAGATACAAACTCTGGTAGAGTGGGATGAGGCACTTCACAGCCCTGCTGGCATTGATGCAAGTGGCACATATAAGGCTTGGCAGCAGCTTCCCACTCACTATGGCTCCATCGAACAGAGGACCAAAAAATGGAACCTGTTGATCAGAAATAGAAAAATGCTTACTTTTCAAAAACCAATAAAAACTGTACGAGAACAGATAACAAATGTCTAAAACCTGGAATGAACACATAGACAGTCATCCTCAGGGAAAGTGCTTACCTTCACAGGACATGGGTAGAGAGGGCTTTCAACTCAAGGAAAGCAGGACTGCTCTAGGAACTCTTGAGCAAAACTTCTTGTTAATAGGTAATTATCACCAGTTTTTTTTTTTTTAATGTGTGTGTGTGTGTGTGTGTGTGTGTGTGTGTGTGCGCGCGCGCGCGCTGTCATTTATAGAAATGCCACTATTCTTTCTAAGGACTTATATCATGTAGATTATGTGTGGTACACAGATCCCAACTTTGGAACTGGTAATGTTCCTGTTATGGATTCGATACATGTTGGCTCTTAAAGGAGATGATCACCATTGCAGTCAACAATTACATGGTCCTACTTAAGAGTTCTTCTTCTTGAGCTTTTCTCTTTGCTTTCAAGATACTGCAGGACCTCATTTCCTTCTACTTCTTGAATAGACACATGGCTTTTCTTTGCTGGACCAATTTCCACCAGGTAGGTAACCCGCAAAGTTTTCATGCCTGTCTTTTTTGGGTTTCTTTTATTTCTTCAAATTGCTTCATTAGAATTTCATTCACTAATAGTGATATGGTTAGCACCAAGAGATCAGGGACTAACTCTGCCTTGTAACTCATATTAATTTACTATTTCACTTGCTTAGTCATCTATTCACAAAATATTTATTATGTGATGGACACTGTTTTATTCACTGAGGACACCGCAGTAAATAATACAAAAATCCCTAATTCCACTGAGTTTATAGGTTATTGTAGATTTCAGATAACAAACATTAAAAACACATACAATGCCTCACCTGTGTGAGGCAGTAGACGTGTTAAGGTGAAAATAAAACAGAAGAGAACAATTAAACTTTTTTTTAAGGTATGGTATCTCTAATTAGGTCAAATGGGAAGGAAGGGTTTTAAGAGAAGATGATATTTTAGTAAAAGTCTAAAGGAAGTGGCAGAAGGAATCACAGGTAGGAGTCCTTCAGATTCCATCTGATGGAAGAACAGACCAGGCAAAGGAAGAGCAAATGCACAGGCCTAAGGTGATGGGAGTGGAATTGAATGTTTAAGCAACAGCAAGGAAGTCACAGTGACTACAGCCAAGTAAGTGAAAGAAAAACCTGAAAGAGATGAAAGTCAGGCAGTAAAAGGACCTTGTGGGAAATTATAAGGATTTTCGATTTCTAGTCTAAATAAAATAGAAGTTTTGTGGAAGGCTTTAGGGAAATGGGGTATATGATCTAACCTACATTTTTAAAGTATTGTTCTGGGCACTGTGATGGGAAAACTGCAAAGGGAAATTATGGAGACCAGTTGGGAAACTACTGAATAATCCAACAAGAGATAATGATAGTATGGATCAAAGCGGTGGCAGGAGAAGAAGGTGGCTTTCTGGATATATACTCTGAAGGTAGAGTTGATAGGATCTGAAGAGGATGGCTGATGAAGTGGAAGGGAAAGAGAGGTGTCAAGGATGATGCCATGATTTCTGCTGTAGAAAGGGTCATAAGTTCATTTTAAGATGTACTCAATCAGAGATGCCTATTGGATATCTGGTGGTAATATGTTGAGGAGGCAGTGGATGTCCCAGGCAGGAAGGCAGAGGAGAGGCTTAAATTGGAGATATAAACCTAAGAGTTGTTCACCTGCAGATGGTGTTTCTAAGCACAAGAGCATAGGAAGAGCTTGAAGGACTATGTCCTGTGGCCCTGATGTTAGAGGTTGAGGTCATGAGAAACAAGAAAAGAAGACTAAGAAGGAGTGGCTTGGGAATGGAGGAGACAAATTCCTTTGAGTCATTCAGAAACTTTAGGTGATTGTAAATATACTTGCTCAACAGGGACGAAAAGCTGAGTTTAGGTTCTGATTAGGACTATTACATGTAGTCTTTCATTAAATTTACCATTGAATATAGGATCAGGAAGTGGTATGAAGATTTGCTCACATGTTTTCTTCTAGGAACTTTCATATTTCAGTCTCTAATCTGTCTCAATTTTTGCAGTAGCTCTGTACCTGGCATGTGGCTACAATACAGGTACCTCCTGAATGAGTGAAGTTTACTAATATTTTAAATAATTTAATGAATGCAAGTCTTCAGCCTAGATTCTTTAACATCTTCCAGTAACTGCTTATTAGTAAAATACCTTTTCTGTGGTTGGCATTGGAGGAGAGGCCTGGGATACACAACAGGAAATACAAGACTGTTTTCACCTATAAGGAGCTAACACAATTGTAAAACACTATGGACTGATATCAACAAAAATGTAGAAGTTCTGGGGCTGGGGATGTGGCTCAAGCGGTAGCGCGTTCACCTGGCATGCGTGCGGCCCGGGTTCAATCCTCAGCATCACATACAAACAAAAGATGTTGTGTCCGCCGAAAACTAAAAAATAAATATTAAAATTCTCTCTCTCTCTCTCTTTAAAAAAATGCAGAAGTTCTTTACTAATTTTTAGCAAATTAAATCCAATAATATAAAAAATAATACATCTTGATCAAGTGGAATTGTCCATAGGAACTCAAATTTGGTTGAACATTCATAAATTAATTCATTAATTCAATTTACCTCATTAACAGAATAAAGAAGGAAAACTAGAAGACTTTCTTAATGAATGCTGAATAAAACACTGGATAAAATTCAATCTTGTTCGTGATTTTAGAAAAGCACAACAGAACAACAACTCTCAGAAAACTGGAAATATATGGGAACTATTTCAGTTTAAAAAAATCTGCAAGAGGAAAAAAATGGCATCATAATTCATGATAAAATATTGAATGCTTTCTACACAGTATCTAAAAAGGCAAGAATATTTATGCTTACCTCTTCTATTCAACAATTTTAATGTTCTGATCATTACAAGTAGAAAAATAAAAGAAGGAAAAAAGAAAAAATACATGAGAAAGAAGTAAAATTATTTTTATTCACAGAAAAACATGACTATATAAATGAAAAATCCAAAGGAATTTAACTAGAACTAATTAGTGAATTAGCATAAGTCACAAGATACGGTGAACTCCCCAAAACAGAACCCTAAAGAAAGAAGTCAAAGAAGACCTTAAAAGATGGAAAGATCTCCCTTGCTCTTGGATAGACAGAATTAATATTATCAAAATGACCATACTACCAAAAGCACTATACAGATTTAATGCAATTCTGTTCAAAATTCCAATGACATTCCTCATAGAAATAGAAAAAGCAGTTATGAAATTCATCTGGAAAAAATAAGAGACCCAGAATAGGTAAAGCAATCCTTAGCAGGAAGAGTAAAGCAGATCGTATCACTGTACCAGACTTTATACTACAGAGCAATAGTAACAAAAACAGCATGGAATTGGCACCAAAACAGACTGGTAGACTAATGGTATAGAATAGAGGACACAGAGACTAACCCACATAATTACATTTATCTTATATTACACAAAGGCACCAAAAACTTACATTGGATAAAAGATAGCCTCATCAACAAATGGTGCTGGGAAAACTGGAAATCCATATGCAACAAAATGAAGTTAAACCTCACCATGCACAAAACTTAACTCAAAATGGATCAAGGACCTAGGAATAAAACTAGAGACACTGATTCTAATAGAAGAAAAAGTAGGCCCTAATCTTCATCATGTGGGATTAGGCCCCAACTTCCTTAATAAGACTCCTTTGGCGCAAGAATTGAAATCAAGAATCAATAAGTGGGATGGACTCAAAATAAAAACTTTCTTCTCAGCAAAAGAAACAATCTGTGAGGAGAACAGAGAGCCTACATCTTGGGAGCAAATCTTTACCCCTCACACATCAGATACAGCACTAATCTCTATAAAGAACTCAAAAAGCTAAGCACCAAAAAAAAAAAACAAAAAACAAATAACCCAATCAATAAATGGGCCAAGGACCTGAACAGACACTTCTCAGAGGATGATATACAATCAATCAACAAATATATGAAAAAATGTTCATCATCTCTAGCTATTAGAGAAATGCAAATCAAAACTACTCTAAGATATTATCTCACTCCAGTCAGAATGGCAGCTGTTATGAAGACAAACAATAATAAGTGTTGGCGAGGATGTGGGGAAAAAGGTACACTCATACACTGCTGATGGGACTGCAAATTGGTGGAGCTAATATGGAAAGCAGTATACAGATTTCTTGGAAATTTGGGAATGGAATCACCATTTGACCCAGCTATCTCACTACTAAATCTAAAGGACTTAAAAACAGCATACTACAGGGACACAGCCACATCAATGTTTATAGCAGCACAATTCACAATAGCTAAACTGTGGAGCCAACCTAGATGCCCTTCAGTAGATGAATGGATAAAAAAAATACGGCATATATATATATACACACACACACACACACACACACACACACACACACACATACAATGGAATATTACTCAGCAATAAAAGAGAATAAAATCATGGCATTTGCAGGTAAATGGATGGAGTTAGAGAACATAATGCTAAGTTAAGTTAGCCAGTTCCAAAAAACCAAATGCCAAATGTTTTCTCTGATATAAGGAGGCTGATTCATAGTGGGGTAAGAAGGGGGAGCATGGGAGGAATAGATGAACTCTACAAAGGGCAGAGGGGTGGGAAGGGAAGGGAGGGGGCATGGGGTTAGAAATGATGGTGGAATGTGATAGACATGTATGAAGACATGAATTGGTATGAATATACTTTGTATAAAACCAGAGATATGAAAAATTGTGCTCTATATGTGTAATAAGAATTATAATGCATTCCACTGTCATATATAAATTAAAAAAGATTTATTTTTTAGTTGTAATTGGACACAGTACTTTTATTTATTTATTTTTATGTGGTGCTGAGGATCAAACCTAGGGCCTTGCATGTGCTAGGCAAGTGCTCTACTACTGAGCCACAAACCCAGCCAGCCCCCCAAAGTTAT